CTGCTGACCAGCCGGCCCCTGCTTCCTCTGACCCAGCTTCTTCAGCCCACGGGATCCTTTCTCTGCCCCCAGGCACAGAATCCTTTGGTCTGTTTTCTTGCATGGTGAACGGGGAGGAGCGAGAGCAGAGTCATCGAGCTGTCTTCAGGTGAGCCGGGGGCCAGGTATGCTCCGGAGCAGCGCGGGGCAGGCAGTCTGGGGTGCAGAGAGTGCTGCGGCACGAGGGAAGGCAGAAGCCCCGGGCACGACCGGTTCAGCCCCGCGTCCAGGCCCCCTTGGCCAGCTCCGAGGTGTAACAAGCAACGCCTCAGAGGGCCCCTCCAACCACCTGCAGGGGGCGCTTCAGCTGCCCGCTGGGTTGGCCTGGAGTCATTTACATCTCCTTGAAGAGATCTTTCTTCTCCGTGCAAAATGAGATGGTGGTGGCGGCAGTGGTGTTAATCGCTGTCATCCAGGAACAGAGAGGAGCCCGGGGTGAGGCTGGCCCCGCAGAGGAAGCAGGCCCGCAGAGGAAGCAGGCCTGGCCGTGAGACCACGGAGGTGGGGCTGCCCTGGAATCCCCCCTCGGGCTGTTCTCCCTTCCAGGTTCATCCCTCGCCACGAAGACGAGCTGGAGCTGGATGTGGACGACCCAATCCTGGTGGAGCTGGAGGAGGACGACTACTGGTACCGGGGCTACAACATGCGCACGGGGGAGCGTGGCATTTTTCCGGCCTTCTATGCCCACGAGGTGGTGAGCCAGGCCAGGGAAGTGGCAGGTACGCTGCAGGCAACGGGGGAGGACAAGGGGGGAGAACCTTCCCCACTCCTCTGTAACTGCCCAGAGGGTCCTGCGTAGAGCCACCATCCCCCCAGGAGCAATTGAGCGCCTGCCGGACTCTCTCTTCCTGGCCGAGAGCAGGAAGCGGCCACGTGGGGATGCAGTGGCGCTGCTCCTTCTGGATGCTTAGGCTCAGCAGCAGGGGGCTTGGGCAGCAAGGCCAGAGAGCCCCTGGGCCTGAGCCGTTCCTGCTCCCATCCCCATGTCGAACCTTCCAGGGGCATGTAAAGGGGGTGAAGAGCTGGGAACGCCCCCCTGCCTTGACCACTCAGCATAAGGGCCGGCTGAATCCTCCAATGTGGTCCCTTCCACTGCTCGTTCTGGCCGGGTCTGGGTCCTTCTAGGGCCAGGGCCGGGCATCTTCCTGAGCCACCCACAACCAAAGTCAGGACAAGGAGAAACGAGAGGAAACAGATGTTGGAAGAGCCCCCTCCCAGCCCCTTCCACCACTCCATAAGCCCTCAGATATGGAGTGGGGCCCCCACTCTGCTTCTGGTGAAGCCGCTATAGAAGCCCTTGTGGTGACAAGAGGAGTCCGTTGGAGCTGGGGGGCTCATACATTCAAATAAATACATGAATTCTCCGAAGGTGTGGTCTGGAGCTCGTGGAGGTGGTCAAGGCAGGCAATGCTGGTTGAGACAAAGCCTGCATCTCAAGGGGCTTTGGGGGTCCTTCCACTAGCCTGGCTGGCACCTGTGTTTTTCCCTCCTTCCAGCAAGCTCCGTTTCTGCCAGGCCACGCCAGGGGGGTTGGGTGGATCTTGCTCAGACTAGCCTGCCAATTTTGATGACAAGGGGAAATACACAGCAGGACAAATTGGTCTTGGCGGCAGTGTCACGGTCCTGATCCCACAATATGCTGCAGCTCTTGATGGGCCCCGCGGTCAGCGTGTCACCGCTTGTCCCTTTCTTGCCAGTCTTCTGGCCATAATAAAGATTAAAGTGGATTTGCTCCTTCCTTGCACGGCCCGCAGGCTGGCAGTCTGAGAGCACAGCTGCTTTTGTCAACTGCATATAGCAAGAGTGTGATCTGTTATGAATAGTCCTATCCATAGTTTTGGGGCTTTCAATACATGGGGACGTGAGCTGGAAACACAGGCCTCTGCCCCAAGGAGCTTGCAATAGAAAAATGCAGCGTCGCAAAGTAGGATGACAACTTGTGGGGTGTGGGAATCTGCCCATCCTTCCATTGATGGTCCAGAGGTTCCTAGGCAGGTGTGGGTGGTGGGAGATGGCACAAAGTGGGCTCCCATAACCCCCTCCAGAGAAGTCATGGCTTCTTCCAGACTCATCCTCCTTTTTGATGTGGTCCTCCTGTGGGTGCCAGAAGGCAGGGGAAGAGTCACTGCGGGAGGCCAGGCCAGATGTGACTCTGGGCGTTCCTTGCAGGCCTGAAGCGGAATCCTTGCTGGGTTGAGCGCTTCAACGTGCAGTTCCTGGGCTCGGTGGAGGTGCCGTACCATCAGGGCAATGGCATCTTGTGTGCGGCCATGCAGAAGGTGAGTCCCGTGGGGGTGCGTGTGTGTGTGAGGGCTGCCTAGCAACCCCAAGTGGGCATCAGTGCAGCACAACAGCCACGTTCACAGAACGTGCAGCAGCCCTCTTCTAGCTCAGCGCGGGGGCTTGATCGACGCCAATGGCTAAGTTTTTGCAGGAGGCTGGACTGCAAACCACCCGTCCCATTTCTGCCTTGCGTTTTGCAACTTTTTCACCATTTTCTGCTCTGCCTTTACTTCAAGGAGCTCGCAGAGGCTCCTTTCATCCTCACCACAGTGCTGTGAGATACACCAGTTACAGAAAGGGTGGTGCAGGTCAGCCAGAGAGAGTCAGGTAGGTCCAGGTCCTTCTGGCCTGGGTCCAACATGACGACTCAGTCAGGATTCTGTCCAGGGAGATGGGGTGGGAGTCTGCCCCGCGTGGATCTCGCTCCCTGGTCCCCAGCACCTCTGCTGTCTGGTCTGCCCCGCGGAATACGATAATCCTGACTGGCTATTTTTTTTAAATTAATTTTTACTGAAGAATTTGTTTACAGAATAAAAACAATACAAATTTAAGGAAAAAGAAAAGTAAAAGTAAAAAAAAGTAAAAGAAAAGTGATACAGGTAGTCCTCAACTTATGACGGCAACTGGGAATTTCCATCGCTAAGTGATGGGGTCATTAGGCGAAAAATCACGATTGTACTGCTTAGTGATGACAGTTCCAATAGTCCCAGTTGTGGTCATTGTAAGGTTTGCCCTGTTCGACAGAGAAACTCCCGTGACACGTGTGGTTCACAAAAGAGGTTTACTCATGCGTAA